TCCAGAAGTAGAAACAAAACTCACTGAAAATGGTGGCTTCTAGGGGACTTCCCTGGTAGCCTGGAGGATTGGGTCTCAGTGCTATGACAGTCATAGACTGAGATTAATCCCCGGCCAGGGAGTGACCCACATGGTGCAGCGGACCTCACCTTTCTCCCCACTGCTCCCCTCAATAGTGGATTTCAGTCGATGCACCTGTCTTCCACCTGTCTTGCTTCCACTCTGTCTCTGTCTCTGCTGACAGAGTAGTAGTAGTGGGGAATCCTCTTACCACCACCACCACCCCTCCTCCCCACAGCTCTGGCCTGTACCTCAGTTTTCATAAAAAAAAAAAAAAAAAATGGTGGCCTCTGAGAAGTGAGACAAAATACATGGGAATACTCCTGCACCCTGTTCCTGCACCATGTTATTCATTGTGAATCCCAACTTCAGATTTCTTCACCATTTGATGTTTAAATGATATAGTATCATCTTGATTAGAATTGGAGAAAATGATATTTAAAATGAGCTTAACAAGAAGTGAGTAGAAACTATGTAAGACAAAATTTTTGCTAAGAATCATGAATACTTACAAAATGGGAAGCATGCCTTTCTTTGAGATTGAAGGATAATTTGAGAATAACATTAATTTTTCTAATGTGATCTGATGAATAAAACGAGGCTGTTTGGAAGAAATTAGCACATGAAAATACAAGAATTCTGAAAACAAAGGGTTTTTGAGGCAGGACTAGTAACCTTACCAGTTATTTAAAATGGAGAATTATTAGGAAATTTAGAGATAAAACAGATTGATTGCAAAGAATGTGAAATAGAGATAGAGCCAAAAGCATGTAATTATTCAATATAAGACAAAGAGAGTATTTCAAATTAATAAGGGAATAAAGATTTTTCAAATTGTGCTGAAATCAACTGATGACCTATTAAAAAGTAAGATTCATTACTGTCTCACTCATAGCAAAATAAATTTCAGATTTCAGCTTCCTTAAACAGTGATTTCTTGTTCAATATAGTCAGTGTAATGAAATAAGGAAACTAAAACTATTGCATGAAACTATGTACCATTATATCTAAACTTGCAGCGAGAGAAGTCTTTTAAAACAAAATAAGAACACATAAAAAGAATAGCAAAGTAGATTACAGAGAAATTTTTAAATTACGTTTGTAAGATACCATAAGTGGAGACTGAAAATACATCAAGCATCTGCAGTGTCTTAAGATCAGTATTTTTAACTTACAGAATTAGTGGAACCCAATACTCTTGGGGTCAGGTGGTGGGAGAGGGGGAGGGCCAGTAACATTTCACAAGCTGTGTCATGATAGAGTTTGATTTAGAGAAAAGAAACGACTTCTTCTAGACCATTGTTCATCGCCCCTTTCTCCACTGTTTAAAATCTTACTCGTTTTCATCATGAAATGCAATTACCATCTTGAACTCACTCAAGAGGAACATCTTGGCCCCTGCATGCTCTTTGATAGATTGACCATATTTCCCCTAAACACCACATTCTTTTCATTTCTTAGAGTGGGCCTATTCCTCTTTCCTTCCACCCTTGATAATAAATTTCTTAGCAAAAGAAATCGTGTCTTCTTCATTTTACTCCCAAATATATTAACCCTTCACTAACCACTAATAATCTCTCAGTCAATAAATGAGCGAGGCAGAGTCTTAAAAGAACACAGATCCTATGGACAATGTCAGTCAGTAAATGTACTTGATTCACAATCTCAGACATAGCTTTATTAAGATTTAAATCTCTGGATAAAAAAAAAATCTCTGGATAAAATCTCAGTAAAACAGATAAGGTAACCTTCATGCAGGACACAAATTAATTCCCAGCGTACAATAGAAGCATTTCATGGCACTGCCATTCATTGGTTTATTCCTGTAGGCAGCTATGAACACACAAGTCCCATTGTAACAGAAAGCTTTGCTCTCAGCTACAACACACAGCATCTCACAGATGAACTTCCAGGTGGCTGAGCTATCCGGAGATGAGTTTTTTTTTTCTTCTTCTTCTTCTTCTTCTTCTGAGATTCTGCAAAGAATAGAAGCTAACCCGAGTGTTTTCTTATCCATATTGCTTATCTCACAGCAACAGGTTATACTCCCATAGCCTTTACTGAATGCAAAATAGCTGAGTATTCATGAGCGCTAATGCTGTAGATGAAAACAAAATTAAGTTGGTGTGTGCCTAAAGCAACTGAAAGATATACCTGAATTTTTGGTCTCTAGCTTCCAAGAATAAATCTATTAGGCTTAATTACAAGCATCCCTGTCACTTTGGGAGAAAGAAACCTATTGGTAAAAAACCTATCTTGGTAAAATACCTTTCATACTGGAAGGTGTTTTCACTCTTCACCTATTACTGTTGAATCTTCAGGATGAATGTTCATTTTCAAACTGGTGGCATTGCCAGTAAAAAGAAATACAATGATCTGATATATTTTTTTAAAGATTTATTTATTTATGCATACAGAACTGGGGTACAGGCCAGAGGTAGAGGGGCAGTGAGAGGCTTCAGCAGAGACAGAGTGGGGAGCAGAACAAGAAGATCAAAAAAGTGCACTGCTGAGAGGAGCAGTGGGCGGGCCAGGAGCGGTCTGCCACGCATTGTGGTCACCTCCCGCGGTGGGGATCGAACTCATGCGGAAGTGGCTTTAGCTTCTTAGTGCTGTGCTTTAGCCTGCTGCGCCACCAGGGAGAGCCTGATCAGATATTTTTATGTGAATCATCTTTGGAACTTGTCTTCCTTGCCTTTGCATGTAATATTCAACAGAAAGAAAAAAAAAAGAAAAGGAAAAAATAATTGCCCTCGATGACAAGTTCTGGCATACTTATAAGGTTAAATGATGTGTTGAAAATTCTCCGAAGCATTTTTAGGATGAGTTAAAGCGGATACTCTCCTCAGCAGCCTGGCAAGCTTCTCCTCAGAAGCTTATACTGTGCTTGGTTGTGCTGTATTCAAGTATCAATATCAACCTACTTCATACTTTCATGAACAAAACACTTTGGAGGGTAATGAGATTATAGAAAATGTAACTCAAGGAGAAATTAAGTGTTTCACACATGGACAAAGGCTAAGTGAAAAAACCTATCTTCTGGCTGAATATTCATTTAACAAGTAATTGCTCCTTTGTTCAAATGGGTCCACTGTGTGCTGGGCATTGAACAGCCTAAGCCTTAAAAAATTAATTGAATTATCCCCAGTAAAGGAAACTGATAAGAAAGCTTACTGTGTGACCAGGTCTGGAAAACTTCAAGACTTCAAACACAATGTGTAGAAATGTCCTGACTTTGGAGGCAGAGTGCCTGAGTGTTACCTGTGTTGGTGCCAAAATTAAAGGAATGACTTTGAACTAGTGCTTGGTCACCTTCAACCTTTAATTTCTTTATCTTGAAAAAGAAAGAGTCCCTTTCTCTTTTGCGTTCCTTTTGGTTCTAATATTCTGTCAGTAACAGGGCTTCTAGCTGGATTCATTACATTTTCGTATGATCCTGGACTTCATTTTTTTGGAATGCCAGTATCTGAGGATTCAGTTTGAGTTTGCAGTGTCCAAAAGCTGATAGAGATATTTCACTCATGGGATTGCAGTTGTCAGCTTTGCCCAGATAGCATCATAAAATTTTGTTGAGAAGTGCTGCTGGACCACTGATACGTATAGAATCCATGATTCAGTAGGCTATATCTAATCACATACTTAATAAAAAAAAACATGCAGTGATCAAAGGCAAAATATCTTTGCAATGAGAATCTGAGACTTTGCTAAGCTGGATTTTGTTAGAATGCTCTATTTTTTTTTTCAGTCTTGCCTTCTTCTATGATCTTGACTTTGTGTCTTGAAAATTTTTTGAAAGTCACGGAAGTGTCTTTATTAAGTTGCTTAGCATAGCAGTGTCACTTAGAAATATTTTTTAAGAGGATGTTTTCAATATAGCTTAAGTAATTTGATATATCAGTGCTATAAAGAAAAATTAAGGTTATTATTTTCATATAGCTTTAGACAATCAAGTGTAATACATGACAAAAATAAATCATTTTCAGCAGCAAAAAAAAATGAGTAATTTGTTGGAACTGTTACTTAACTGCTTAAAGGAAAAAAATACAAAGAAGCTAAGTAAGCAAAGTTCCTGAGTTTTTTCAAATTTGCTCAGTAGTATTTACCACCAAAAATAGTATTTATTTACCACCAAGGCTAATATTGATTCAAGTTAATTATTTTAGTTTCCACACTGATTTGATATCAAGTTTTCTGCTTTTTAGTCTTTAGTCTTTGCCATTTGTTGGTTTAAGACTATTCTTCCTCTGACCAATCAGACAAAAATTAGTAATCTTGCATTGCAGTGACATTCCTCAAGCTCTATAAGTTCATTTTATTTTATTTATATTGATCTTGTTAGTGTTTTAACAGTATAGGATTACAGTTCAGCAATTCCTCTCCTAGGTATCTATGCAATAAAAAAACACAAAACACTAATTCAAGACGAAACCTTAACTCCTCTGTTTGGTGTAGCACTGTTTGCATTAGCCCAGACATGGAAACTACCTAAGTTCCCCAAAAGGGATGAATAGATAAAGAATAATTAGTATATATCAACACACACACACACACAAAATGAAATGATACTCAGCAATAAAAAAGATAGACTCAGACTCTCCATGGTGGTGCAACGGGTTAAATCACCACATTATGAAGCTCTCCAAAGCCACTGAGGCACGAGTTCAATCCCAGCAAGGCAGCTGACCCATATGGCACCGCAGACCTCTCCTGAACCACCCACTGCTCCCTTCAGCAGTAGATCCACCTGTTCTGCTCCCCACTCTGTCTGGTGAATCCTCTCACCCCCCCCCACACCTCTAGCCTGTACCCCAGTTCTGTACGCATAAATAAATAAATCTTAAATATATATATATATATATATAGACTCATGCCATTTGCAGCAACATATACTAATTTCAAATTGGTTGCAAGTTTAACATCGCCATTCTTTTCTCCTGTAGGCATTCATGTCCATGTTCCAGATCCTCACGCAGGAAGGATGGGTGGACGTAATGGACCAGACCCTCAACGCTGTGGGACACATGTGGGCACCTGTCGTCGCCATCTATTTCATTCTCTACCACCTCTTTGCCACGCTGGTGAGTTTAGCATTTTGGTTTTTGTTTTTCAGTGATATCGTAGGATTCGTAATGGGATGCACATCAGCAAATTTTTGGCCCCTTTTCAATTTCAGAATGAGAGTCGGACAACAAATGTCCACAAGGGGAAGTGCCCTTCCATTTTAAATTCTATGAGTCAAAGAACTGCTCCTGATTTCAGACTTAAGTAAGAAATTGTCCCCCTCAAGTTCAGGTGTTTATGTGAGGGAAAACAAGACAAAGCCAGATGCAAATCTCACCTTCGTATCTCAGCAATTACACCCTAGATGATCTGAAGATCAAGCCAGAATCGCAGTATTAGTATTATTTTATCATGTAGGGAAACTCTCTTCCATTTCACTGCATCTTTTTCTCAGCTGTAATTAAACTGCAGACAGGAACTGGAGACTTAAGGGTGCAGTCTGTTAATTAGAAATAGCTCAGTGTTTTGTGGTGTGTGTGTGTATGTGTGTGTGTGAGAGAGAGAAAGAGAGAAAGAGAAAGCATAAAACACAGAGCTGCAAAAATTGTCAAAGCACAATAAAAACTGAATACTGAAATCCAGGGAAATTTTACTTCTGTTTCACAAGCAGATGTTTCTCCTCAATATGTTTTTTATTGGAAAAAAAAAAGTCACAAATTGAGGTTTATGACAGATTAGAGGATAATAATTCTCAGGCCTTTCTAATGTCAAACATACATCTCCATATAGCAAAGTTGTCAATATTTAAGATGTAAACTTAGACTCTAATATTATGTCAAAATCTCCAGGTAAGGACTCCCCCAAAAATGTGATGCTTTGTTAGGATCATGTAAAGCGAAAAGCAACTGCTACTACTTATTGAGCAACAAAATGTTTAAGTGTTTTACATGTTTATTCCTGACATTTGAAACATCAAGGTTAGTTTATTAACCACTTCACAATCGATGAAACTGAGGCTCCGAGAAGTGAAGTCACTAGCCCAGGGTCGCACAGCACGTCAACATTGAGACATAGGTCCCAGGTTAGCCTGGGCTCGAATCCAGGGCTCTTGGGACTGGAAATTGCCACCTCATAGTTTATGAAATATAATGTTGCTACTGAAAATGTCTGCATTGAGTCAACTTCCGCACAGGCATCACTAAAATAAAACAAATTACATTAGCTATTGGAGGTCCCTTCCAGATCTGAATATCTACGAATCCAGTGAGTGTTGCGAAAGTAGACATGTTGGAATTGCATCTGCTACCGGTTAAATCTTGGGGAGTTAAGTCCTGTCCATCGAAAGTGTTTGGGAATAGTGTTCTGTGCCCTGCTTCGCGTCCTGGGTGCAAACAGGACGTGCCTGGACGTTGCTGTGCCCGGGATGACTTTGAAAGTATTCCCAGGAGGGGAGCGAAAGGAAGCCTTGTCTACCAGGACTTGGTCTGGCTGCACTGTAAATTTTACACTTGACCTCGGGCCTGTGCTTCTCCCCTCCAGGAGCTCTGAGTCTGTGTCGTGATTCAATCACTCCTTCGTTTATTCACTTACTCATTCCTTCACTCGTGAGTTCAGCCTTATCAAGCCCCACCTACGTGTTTAAGTTTATTTTAAACGATGCAGTGGCTTGAGAGTATTGCTCGTGGGTTCAATACAGGAGAGCTGTGACTGAATCATGTCTGCTCGGGACCATTTCTTCAGCTATTTTTCTGTGAAAATGACAAGAGAGTTTGCCATCCACAAAGCAGATTTTCCACATTCAGATACAGATTTGGTCTTTAAATCAGAGACTCACAAAATACGAAAGCAGGAAGAGAAATCAGCTAGACTAGTAACTTTAGTGAAGTAAACTTTTCCATGTGGACTTCTACAAGGACCACCAATATAATGAAGTAAAATATTAATGGTGTCGACCAGTTGCACAGTCTAAATCCCCCGCATTGGGCCAAAACAGCGGCATTGATTGTGGAATGCTAAGTACTCTTAGGGGGTCCTGGGGCTCACCTGAGCCTTCAGAAGCCCACAGAGCACAGGTGGAAAACCCATCTCAAATTCACTCATTAGAGTGGCCTAGATATTCTGAATTTTAACTCCCTGACTACTCCCTCCCCAAGTAGTTAATTCATTATCCCATCTGGGGCGTGTTCCAAACTATGGGTTTTTCACTAATGATCAGTATTTGTTTTGGACTTGTGCTTCTGAAAGGTCATTCTCACCCCAAGGTAATAACATTCTCCTGTCTTAAATTTTTGCCTTTCACCCCCAAGTCTCTCAACCTGCTACTTATATAGAATAGAAGGTGGATGAAACTCACCTTCAAATAAAACTCATATCCACTTTTCTCAGCCAGATGTATAAAACTTTGAGATATTTCATTGCTTTCTCTGATTATATCTAATTTTTAATTGTATAGTATTTTTGGAGATAACATTAGTTTCCAACACTCTGTATGATTCTGGGCTACTGGTCCACACCTCTCCAAGTGTATGTTACCACACCACACTGACCGCCAAGGTACAATGGTCCTCCACCACTGTGCATTGGACCCCTAAAGCAAAAAGACCAGCTATTGAGATTTTGCAATTTTTTAGATGACTTTTCAGTTAACTCAGTGGGGGGAAAAATCACACTTTATAACTAAATTATTAAAACTCAGATTACTGCCCCAAAGCCTAGGCACAGAAGTCCCCCTCAGATCCTGGGGGTTTCCCTTAAAGCAATACCACCACCGGCTTTTCTTTTTCTGTGTGTGTCTTCAGAACGACAGTTCCTGCTCGCTATCAAGTGAGCTCCACTAGCTTCACTCAGCAGCTTGGCTGAATCTCCGCCCCTAGTTGTACTACTAAGCTATGTCCTGATAAAATGGGGACGAGCTTTATCTCTGTCCCCTCTGAACCTACAGCTAATGCAGTCATGAGAAATGCAAACCGACTGAGCAGCAGACATGCTAAGTCTGTGGTTCAAGACCCAACGCCAGTGTCAGAAGAGATCATGCTCTGCTCTGTGGCCCAGGCCTGCTTCACAAACATCAGCTCTCCAGTCACCTCCGAGCCCCTGAGCTGCAATATTAAAAATAAAGGCAGTCCTGGGCTTCCCTGGTAGTGCAGGGATTTAAGCTTCAGTGTGATCAAGCTATCAGCAGCCACAGCAGCCTGGGTTTGATCCCCGGCCAGGGAGTGACCCACAGGGTGCAGCAGACCTCTCCTGTCTCCCCGCTGCTCCCCTCAGCAGTGTGTTTCAGTAGATCCTTGTGTTCTGCTCTCCACTCTGTCTCCCCTGCATCTCTCTCGTCCACAGTCCAGCTCTTGTGTGCATAAATAAGTAAAAATAAATCTTTAAAAATATGTATTCAGGCAGTTCCACAACTGGAGATGGTGTGTGGACCAGTGTGTGAGACAAACATCTCCCCCGCACCCCACAACTTGAGTGTTGATGAGTTAATCTCTCACCCATAAGTCTGCCTTGAGGTTTGAACTTACCTTAAATGATCATTTTTGTTCATCTGTATGTTTCTTCTTGCAAAGTACTGCATAAAATTTTAACCCCAATGGGGAAAAGAAAATCTACTCCCAGAAACACACAAGGTCTGATGGGTTTTCACCTAGCTCAGCTGGGGGTGAGGCGTGGGCATTCCACCTGACAGGTCCTGAGTTAGCTTCTACAGGACAGGTATGTGCCAGGCAGCAGGGGGAAAAAGTTGGCTACTGTTTGTTCCAGGGTAAAAATCAGCTGTTTAATCCATAGCCTCCCGGGAGTACCAACTTTTCAACCCACAATAAAAATCAAGCTTAAGTGTACAGCGGATGCATATTCATAACTATTATCTATCATCCTTTAAAATGTCCCTCCCACCCACCAGGTATGCATTTTGTGTTTCTGTCCTGACTGATTGCACTTTGCCAATTGCTTGTGAAAATCATCTTCCTTCCTCCCCCTTTTGTCAAGAACTTGGGGGTGAGAACGATGGAAGAATGAGCCAGATGAAAGCCTGCTTTTCCCCCTATGTTTTTCCCTTCATTGTTGTTTCAAAGGGAACCCTGTGATGTCAATACTGAAAGAGAGAAAATGTAATTAAGCATTCATTGTGGACAGTCTTTTTGTTACCTTTGAAGTGCCTAAATTAACACAGCAATCTCTTGATTTTGCTTCTGTAGTGGCAGCTTTCTGAGAATAGTCATATTTTGCTGACAAAAATGGGCATCTCAAAGTATAAATTAAATAACTTGATTCTGTAGGAATCATTTAAAAGTGCATCTGTGTTGAATATATCCCATTAGGCACTGCTCTGATTACATTTGACTTTTTGTTGGCCTATATAAAAAATGAAATTGTTTCCAACTACATTCAGCAAGACAGCGTAGGACAGTGTGATTATAAATGGTAAAAAGAGAAAGAAAAACACAAGATTATGGCATGTTATCCAGATGCCTACTGCGTGTCTATTGTGCACTTGAAGATAATTAAAAAATAGAAATTATTAACAAAGTTCACAGCAGAGAAAGAAATACAATTAGAGGTGACATTTCAGCAAAAGGTCAAATTTTCAGCTACCTATAAAAGCAAAGAAAATAGTGAAAGTGACTTTAGAAAAGAAAGGAGAGTGAGCAGGGAAAGATAAATTGGGTAAGGACAGGACTTTATGTAGTGTTGGACAGGAAGCAAAAGAAGGCATGTGTCTGCCGAGACAGACATGCTCAATCAAAACACCTCTGAGGGGCCCTCCCTGGTGGCGCAGCGGGTTAAAGCACAGCACTAAGAAGCTTAAGCCACCTCCGCATGAGTTCGATTCCCGCTTCACATGGCGCGGCAGACCTCTCCTGACCCGCCCGCTGCTCCCCTCAGCGGTGTACTTCCTCGATCTGCCTGTTCTGTTCCCCATTCTGTCTCTGGTGAAGCCTCTCACCCTCCGCATTTCTGGCCTGTACCCCAGTTCTGTACGAATAAAAAAAAAAAAAACACCTCTGAGGGCAAAGCGAACCTCCCATTCCGTAGTCTAAACCGAAGAGTGGGCCCGGGGAGCAGATGAGAACGCCGGGGT